CTTCTGGCAACTATGTCACTGTTCCTTTGGAAGAGGCTGTGAGAAAGGGATCACCAGCAGATGGAAGTGGCAAATATGAGGAAACAAAACCAGAGTCACCTGTAGAAGAATGGAGCACATCTGCTGCTCCTACAGACGAGTCCGGAAACTACATCTTCCCAGTCATTCGCCCAGATGGAACTCCTCTTGGCACTGAAGAAAGCCGAGTTACTACAGGTGTCAGTGAGAAGCCCCTACGTTATGTGGCTATATACACCGACGGAAGGCCTCTTCCTACTAATGAATATGGTAGCGCCCTAGGAGATGATGGACAACCTCTCCCGACTGACGCTGCAGGACGGCCAGTGGATAGCTCCTTTGTTCCTTATCCTACAAATAATCTTGGTGAATATATGATCCCACCTAGCAGGCGTCCATCACAGTATTGCTTCATATCATCTCACATTGAGCTTATTGTTGTTCTCGACACGTCCAATACCGTGAAAGTTCTGGACTACCGTGTAATGAAGGAACTTCTGAAATCGTTCTTGTCAGATCATTTCGATTTGTCGCAAGATAAGGTCCGCGTTGGTGTTGTGAAGTATGGAGACACAGCGGAGGTCCCAATTTCACTCGGAGACTATGATAACGTTGATGACTTGCTACATCGAATTAGTGAAACGCGAAGAGTGAAGGGAAAGCCGCAACTGGAATTAGCCTTGAAAGAAGTCGCTGGTGAGCTACTCATCTCCGGAAGTGAAGATGTACCGAAATTTGTACTCCTGCTCAAGAATGGTCAATCAACGTAGGTGTTACTGTACTTATCATTTCGGTATTCTTCATTTTAATGTAGGCTTCAGTTGACCCCTTTCAGTAATGCTGTACCGCTTTACTAATAAAGTGTTACTAACTCTAACCTATTCTCACACAAATAACAACTCGGATCAAATCTCATTTTTGATTACTGCGCATAGGAAGAAATAGACATAGTTGTATACTAGTGAAATGTTGTAAAATAGGCTCTAATTGTTTTTTGGTCATAGAGGTCAGAAAGAATGGTACATGCACAAGAAAAACAATATATAAAAAGAGCCTCAAGCACTTTTTTCTCTCATCAAGAAGAAAACATCAGGGACCCGGAAAATTGATTCTATTTCATTTGTTTAGTGACGATTTCCAAGAAGCAGCAGAAGCATTGAGGGACGATATAGGAGCTACTGTATTCATAGTGGAAGCGGGAGATGAAGCAAGCCACGGACAAGATAAAGAGATCACATCTGATGACAAAGTGATTCGTATAAAACAATGGCGAGGAACTGATTCTGAAGCACTGGGCCCCATTGCTGACATGATTTGCAAGGTTTATATCCCAGCGTTCCTCAGAATACCAATCTGATAATTTGTAATTTCAGATTGTGCCAGCCGATCTCTCTTCTAGAATAACGTGGCCGACGAGAAAGACCACGCAAGTCTCAACACCATCTCGTTCTTGCAGCCAAATTGATTATCCGGTCAGTGATTTGCAAAGAATGACTTTTGCTTTTGCGTTTTCAAAACTGTAAATTAATGCTGCTCAGGATTATTACATCAGCAAGCAATGGTAATTCCTTCTTCTTCACAATTACGTTTTAAAAATCTGCACTTCGCCCGATAATGCGACTGATGTTCTTACCCGATCAGTGATCCACACATTCACCATGTAAAAAATTTTGTCCCTCTGCTCAACTTTCACTACACATTTTCAAATCAAATAACTATACAGATCTCAAGAATCGCTTGAAAACTTTCAAGAATAAAATCTCTCTTTGTTTTCAAAAAACAATGCAGGTATAATCGAAGGCAGAAAGGCAAAACTGGGATCCTAGACTTGTGGGAATACCGATTGCAAAGCCTTGGCTAAAGTATTGTCCAAATTATATGATTATTCGTGGCCATTTGCCTTTTCGAGCGGACCAATCAACGTTCTCGAAAGAGAAAGTAACGTCTAAGGCCTAAGGCATACCTCACACGATTCCAGTCGCGG